GATAGGTTGAGAAGAAAAGAGAAGAAGCCTCAGTGCTGTTCAAGCACTGCTTAGCAGTGGTCTGAACTCTGGTAGGTTGTCAGCTCTGTTCTTAGTCACTAATCGAAAACACAGCACTGTAGAGACTGCTTACAAAAAAAAATCACTTAATCTCAGCCATACCCAGGATACTGTCTTGCCCCTCAGCTTGAGCTAATAGAAGTCCCTGTGGAAATATTTTCCAGAAGTAATTGGATTTGTCTGTGATACCTCATTGAAGTAAATAATAGATATGAGTGACAGGTCAAATAATCAAAGTTTCTATGAAGTACCTGCTGGATGATTGCTTTTCAACCCAGGGTACATTACTGCAGCTTGCTGGCGAATAATTTATCATAGAATTATTTGAGGGGATCCTTAAAAGTCATCTAGTCCAACTCCTCTACCATGAACAGGGACATCTATGGCTAAATGAGGTTGCTCAGAGCTTGGTCCAGCCTGACTTTGAATGTCTCCAAGGACAGAGGATCATCTTGCTCCTTCTTTACATGATGTGTCATTTTTGAGGTCTCCTTTCAGTTAATGCACTTTCTTTAGTACCTCAGTGCTCGCAGTCCCTTCTCTTTCCACATAATAGACTAAGCATTGCATCTAGTATCAAGACTTCTAAATGTTTATACTTAACCTTTTGTTATAAAGAAAATAGGCTACTTATTGTCTTCATACACTTTTTGTCATGGAGCACATGACAATGATCTGTTTTCTCATAATCTGGTAGTCTCTTGTGAGACTTCAAAAAGCTGTAAAAAAAACCAGTTCTTCATCTAGCACTTCAGCATATTGAAAGAATTTTAGATAGAAAGGCCAATTTTCTTTTAATATCCCCACTGTTTACAAAGTCATATAATTTGCTAGATATTTCAGACTGTGGATTCATGTACTATCAAACAAGGGAGTTATTTGTCTCATCTCAGGAAACTGAAGTCTACTTAAATATAAACCTGACTTACAATTTGCAGTCCTTTTTTAGTAATACTCGTCCTTAATGAGCGTGCATGATTTGGTTAATAGTTGATGTATTTTGCAACTAGATTTCTTTCATTAGCTCATGATTAATGTTCTGTTTTATTTAGAAGAATGAACATTGCATTCATTTGATAAACTTCATTAAATGTGGAGCTCAAGCAACTAGAACTGTAATTATATGAAGAAGAGATTTCAAGAATTGACACTCGTAAAATCAAACTCTTCTCGAATTGGTTATTATCTTATGCATCGTGACCAACCGAGGCTTTGTACTGAACAGAGGCAGGCTCTGGAGGGAGTGCCTTCAGCTAGAAGTGTTATTATCTATTATGAATTAATTGTTTTATAGCCTTTTTCACTACAATGAGACATCTGCTCTCCGTGCATTCAGAGCAATATCACATCAGATTTGTAGAGGTAGTGGTAAGCATTGTATCCTCCTCTAACTTATTATTTATTTAGAGATTATTTAGAGTTGTTGATTACTTTTCAAACAACTCATGCAATTGAAGTCCATGAAGACTATCCTCTTCTTTAAAGCAAAAATGTATTGATCTTTACGTGGCGATGAAATATAAAAAGAAAGAACAAAAGAACAAAACTTTCCCCACATACTCTATTATAAATGGGAAAATGACTTCTGAGAGTTCAGGGTGAATGGTTTGCATCACCAATAGGAGGAATTATGGCTCCTGTCTGTTGTAGTCTGTTCTCACCATATTACTCTATGCAACTCTAGGGCAGGCCATTGAACTCTTACTTCAGTTTTTAGCTGTTGCTTTGCTGGTACTGTGCGTTTTAAGATGGAAGAAGATAGCCATGACAACCTCACTGCCTATTCTGGTTAGCTTGTGATCTGCAGCAGAAACAAGAATTGACCAGAAGCTTTTCACATTTAGGATCAAGTTAAGAATGACATTTCCCGCACACAAATACCTGGAGTCCTTCAAGAAAGAAACTGAGAGCAATTTGAATTTGAAATTCTGAGCCAAGCTACTGTAGCCCATGGATTGTTTTTAGTTGTACTTACCTTGCTATGTGGGACAGCTAAGGTGTGGGATTGTTATCCTCTGCAGTGGAATTCGGCACAGTGCTAGAGGTGTTTATTCTTACTGTGCTTGTGCACTACACTGAATTCATTTCATGTGAGGTATAGGTATGTGAGGGGCCAGGTTGTCAAAAGATATGTCCCTATGTCCTCCTGATGTACCCTCTGTTCTTGTAGACACAAGATTTCTGAAAAAGAAGTTTACATTTTGGATTCTTGCTTCTCAGTGGTGATTTGAGGGAAGAGTGGGATTTATGTGCCCAATTGACATTTAAGGAAGAAGTCTGGTTAGAGAACCTGTTGCAACATGTTATCTCTTGACTTTTTGAAATGTATTCCCCAAAAGCCTACAAAACAAGAGAGTGGTCTTCTCAGTCTTCCTCAAGAAAGATGTGCAAGGTTTTGCACTTAAGCCAGAGGAATCCCAGGCATCTATACAGACTGAAAGGAGCAGCAGGGAGCTGGACTTGTTTAGTACGGAGAAAAGAAGGCTGTGGATTGACCTAATTGCAGCTTTTCAGTACCTAAAGGGAGCCTACAAACAGGAAAGGAATCAGCTCTTTCAAAGGGTGGATAACAGCAGGACAAGGGGAAACAGTTTTAAGTTGAGGGAGGGAAGATTTAGGTTGGATATCAAGGGGAAGTTCTTTACTATGAGAGTGAGGTGCTGGAACAGGCTGCCCAGAGAGGTTGTGGATGCTCTGTCCCTGGAGGTGTTGAAGGCCAAGTTGGATGGGGCCCTAGGCAGTCTGATCTGGTATTAAATGGGGAGGTTGGTGGCCCTGCATGTGGCAGGGAGGTTGGAGATTCACGATCCTTGAGGTCCCTTCCAACCCTGGCCATTCTGTGATTATGTGATTCTATGTTCTGGTGAGCTGTTAGGATTAATTACTGTATCTGTAAGAAGAAAATGGAAAAATAAACTAAATCCATGTGAAATAGCAAACCGTGATCAGTAGATAAATGAAAATATTTTTGTATGTTGGAATATAGATGCTATACTTAAAGGAACTTTCTAAGAAATGGTTTATCTCTTCCATATAATCCAGAAATTACAACTGTATTGATTTATATCTCAGAAAGAGGCATTTGTCTCTACTGAAGGGAAGTGGCATGTATGAGTACAAGCAACTTTTCTTAGTAATGCTCTGTTGTGCTTTTGTGGGCCTAGGAAAGATAGGCATAAAAGAGGAGAGAAGCAGAAAGTCACACAAAGGAGATTCTGGAGTGCAGCCCAGAAAAAAAAAAAAAAAAAAAAATTAGAGTATGAACCTACACCTTAAATTGACTCTTGGGGGAAAAATGCTGAGAAGTCCTGTTTGTTCTGTTGAACTGTGTTTATTTCTGTGGTTGCAAACAATGGAGAAGATCTTACATGAAGGAGATTGTCAGTGTATTCCTATTTACTCAAACGTCTTGTGTACTTGGAATCATTTTCATTGTGGTTTAAATAAAACAACAGAAATTACTTTGAGTACCATAGCAGTGTTACACATTCTGACTTTACATCAGAACTATCTTGTCAGCTAGAACTGAAATTAGTCTTTCTGTTATGATCCAGTTGGCATCTCTCTGAAGTGAAAAATTAGAACACTGTCATACTGTGTGTATGGAACATTAAAAGTTAAGTGCATTCTGTAGCTCGCCCAAAAGCAACATTCCATCATGAGCAATGGATTTACATTACAGTACTTAAGCACTGGACTGAATTCATTTCCTGAGAGTTATAGGTGTGCCTAGTGGCTAACTTGTCAAAGGGTATGTCTTCTGATTAATCTTAAGAAATGTAGTGTATCCCAATCTGAACCTGAATACTCTAAACACAACACTGAGGTAAGGCTTTCTATATGTAGTTCAAATCCATTAAAGCAGATGCATGCTTATTTTTGAAGAAATTAGTTGGTGATTACGTTGTGAGCAAGATTATTGTGTTTAATTTATTATTAATCAGAGAATGAAATTAAGTTGTAATTAACAGTTACTGAGGTGTTTAGAAAAGTTACTATGGGGCTGTTGACTCACTTAAGTTGCTATTGTGCTGTAGGAATAAATGAATAAACAAACCAATCTTTAAGTAAATAAAATGCAGAAATGAATGAAGAGAAACAACCAGGTAGCAACAGTGCCCTGTAAATATTCAAACATAAAATAAATAAACCTGTAGTAATTCCTGTGTTCCTCCAGAAATGAAGATCTCTGCCATACAAGTGCAAGAGCTTAGACTGAGATGGCCTAAGAATGTTGGAGCTTGCTACTGTTCAGCTGTCTTCTTCTTACAAACTCAGGAGTTGCTCATTGATCAATTGCTTCTGTTTCAGATGGCATTTTAGGATAAAGCATTATTGATTTTCATTTGGCTTCAGATGTTCTTCTTCAATGATAATTACAGAATTCATTAGCATGTCAGAGTTTTGAGGCTCAGCAGAAAGTGAAAAGTCTTGGTGCTTTTGGTTTATCTGTCAAGCCAAGCCAAGGCACCCTGCTTGTCCATCAGTACTTTCAGGCTCTGAGTAGCTTCCATAACTGCAAAACCATTCAGTAGTAAATGGGAAATGCAAGACATAGAGGCATATACAAATTGCTTTGTCTTTTGTGTGTATATTTTTTGAACTCTTTCGTCCTAGAATTCCTAGTAGTATTTGAAGCAGGATACTTTGCTGTCCTTTGTGTCAAAGAAGAGTTACTCACGTTCAAGTTATGAAAACAGATAAGGGATTTTTTTCTGTCTCTTGTTGTCTTTTCTTCCCAGAGTCCAAACTGTGTCAGAGAACTAAAGCTTTGAAAGAGGTGTGATCCTCTTATGTTGCTGTTAATTCCTTGCTCAATTTGGCTATTCCTTGTACTGTCATCTTTTAGTAACTTTGTTTTGCAGCTGCTTGGGTTATTATGCTTGTGATGTTCAAGAAAAGTAATCATCATTTATAACAGAAATCCTTTTTGTGTGTAGGAAACTCACAAATGGGTGCTACCATAGTAGATGCACTGGATACTCTTTATATAATGGGGCTTCATGATGAATTCCGAGAAGGACAAGAATGGATTGACAAGAATCTTGATTTCAGTGTGGTGAGTAGAACTTATCCTATTATTTCTCTAGTCCTTTTCTTGGTATTCTGCCTTGAAGGCAGAATGAAGAAGTCTTTCAGTTGGAATTTGCATCTGAAGTTCAGATGCAAACTTTAATGAATTTCTCAGTTTCTGACTTGATATTTTAAAAAACAAACAAACAAACCCACAACAGAACACCTTTCAAACTCCAGTTATAACTAAAGATACATCTACTATTGTCAAAGTACAAATATAGTTAGAGAATGAAAGAAAAGTGATCAATAAGAATCAGTAGGTCCTCGACAGAAGAAATTAATACAGAAGAAATAAGGCTTTACTAGGTTGTAGTAGCTGGAGCTACTAAGTAGTAACTGAGTTGTGAAAGAGGATTTATCCCCAGAGAATGGAACATTGATATTCAGTCAAAATTGAGCAAATGCTTCTTGTTATCCTCATACTAAATCTACATTTCAGAAAGGATTGTTTTTGTTTTGTTTTGTTTGTTTTAGTACATTTGCTCTCTGGCAAACGTGAAAGAAATTCTACTTAGTATATTTTTTTTAGTTAGTGCCAAATAATTATTCAGTCTAAAATTGAAGATGCTAAATACATCAGAGATGGTGTAGACATAATGGTGCCATCATAAATGTGTAATAAATTAACTACTATAGCTTTCATGTTGTGAGGCTGTCTCTATGAATTTGCAGAATTAATTTATGATTTAGGTGGAATAAATTTACATGTCGCACTGGGGGTTAAATTACAGCTTGCTATGTAATGAAGATTAACAAGTTGCCTTAAATATGGAGGGCTTGAATATGGCTCAAAGTTGCGTTTTTTTTTAAAGTTATTATTTCCCACCATCCCCAGACAGCTTCAATTGCACTTTGTAGTGATAATATGATCAGAGAAGAAGATAAAAGCTAATTCAATTTTTAAAAATCAATTGAACATGGAACTGACATTATCATTGCGTCATGAAGAACACGGGAATTTCAATATGGATTTAGGTAGTGAAATAGTTGGTTTGGGACGTAAAATCATTCAATCATCTAGGTTGGAAAAGGCGTAGAAGATCCTGAAGTCCAGCCAACAAGATGACTTCCCAAACCCCATTACCAAACCATGTCCCTCAGTGCCATGTCCAGGAATAGAGATTCCACCAGTTCTCTGGGAAACCCACTCCAGTGTCGACCCCTTTTCCACTGGGGAATTCTTCTTTTTACCAATCTAAACTGGCCCTATCACAACTTAAGACTGTCTACTTATGTCCCAGTTGCCATGGTGACATTTTTTTCATTGATTAGAGGGGTGGTTAATGACTTACTTTTTCTTCATGTTCCAGAATTCTGAAGTATCTGTTTTTGAAGTCAATATTCGCTTCATTGGAGGCCTTCTAGCAGCGTACTACCTTTCAGGCCAAGAGGTAAGGATACTAGAAAGCATCTGTGAAATGTAATATGTTTTAACAAGTAAAGTTTGCATATGAAGAATTTTTTTTAGGATCTTGGTGTATCTGTAGTTTGGAAACTAATTTCACAGTAATGAGTTGTACAGAGTTTCTTAAAATCTTTAAAACTTGTTTCTGTACAGATGTAAGCTGAATTAGGGTACCTTGTTAGAACTTGGAAACTTCTTTTATTGAATGTTTTCAAAAGAAGTTCACTTCAGTAAACATCAAACTGAAATGTCAAGTCCCTGTTCTATACTGCCAAAAATAACTTGTTCTGATAGTCTGTAACTCCACAAAGGTAGAAATAATCATTTTTGTTACTTGTCTTGCAAAGATAGAGGTTTGCTTCATGAAAGTGGTACAACAATCTCCTTACTATTTTCTTGGTAACAAACAGAAATATCAAGCCAATTTCATCCCAGTTTTAGCACATATTAAGAAAGATTGGAGGCTTACACTTTTGAATGCTTATCCAAAGGCATGCTTGTATTCAAGGCATGCACATACCCAAAGACTTGCAATCATGGACGACTTTGGTCTTTCAATAACATTATGATTTCATGTCCCATTACTTCCCATATTTTCACAAAACTGGAGCCTGACCCAACTTACAGATTAACTCATAGCTCTTCTCACATTTTAACAGCTAGCTGTCTTTTGATCTGTTCTCTGTGTCTTTGATTTTATTTTTATTACTGGACATTCTGTAGTCCACTGCCTGAGATGTTAGGCTTCCAGCTATTTCACAGTATTTCACAGATTAAGGTTTTATACACTTCCAGGTATCCAGGTATTCTTTCCATTTGTTTAGGGGACCACCATGTGAATGTATTAGCAAGTACTCAGGAATTTGTCCACAAGTCTAACAGTAGCTGGGAGAAACCGTGTATTTGATGTCAGTTTAAGTCTTTGGCATCATGCTGGGACACATGAACTTTCCTGTTAGGAGTGACTTTGCTTTGGAAGAAGAGCATAGAGACACAACACAAATCCGGTGGGGATCTTGAAAAGAATGTTAAGTTCATTTTTCAAGTATTTACTCTTCAGCCTTCTTGTCCACGTTCTCCAAGAGCTGTGTCTGCAGGGGGATAAGTTTCAAGCAGTCCTTTCTGTTGCACTGATTTGTGGTCTGTTAGAGGGAGCCTGAAGGAAAAGAGAAGCATGGAATGTTGCTGCTCCATTTCTCTTATAGTGACTTAAGAATTGAGCTTACCTTCATGACAGTGAGCCTTTCTCTGCCTCCAGAATCTGTCAGGCTTAGTTCTTACAGCAGTTTCCTAGGAGCTCAGTACTTTACTCTAGAGATATGACCCAGTGTGGCAAATCAACCTTTAAAACTGATTGCTGTGGCACCTCCTCAGGGAGACAGTCTTCATAGCAGCTTTTGCTTGTGCCAGTGCACATTGAAATTCCAGCCTATTTACTTTACCTTGACAAAAGGCATAAAAATCCCTGAATGATTATCCCAAATATTTACTTGAGGCAAGTGCTGAATTTCATCTACATCAGCAATATTAACCCACCAGTTTTCTTCTGAAGACCTTCAGAATGCAAGCTTTCTTATGCTGTCAGACGTAAGCCAAGTTGTTTAATGAAAAGTAGTCTCAGCTGCTTGTGGTTTTCAATTTGTACCAGGGAGCAGTTGCAACAGCTAAGTTGCGGAACTGTTGCAAGGAGTCGTGATTCCTACTTCAGTGTAAGTGATCTCAGCAGCATGGTGAGGAATTCTTCCTTTCTAGAAATTTTTATTTCTGTCACTTGGACCTCAGATCACATTAAGTACTATGTGATCACTGAAATCTTCAAGCATTGAGCAGCAGAGCGGTGCCACAACGCTTTTCAGCTAGGAATGTTGATCTTGTCTCTGGATAACTTAAACTAGAGCATACCCTTGGAGTCATTTACTGTGAACATGAACAACCTCAGAGGAAGAGCAGCAATCACCAATAACTGGATTATTTGGATAAATCAGTAAATACCCTGGAACTAGCACCTTAACAAAATGCTTTTGCCCCATTGTGTAGATGAGTGTAGCCAAAACTGAATGCTTTGTCTGCATTTTGAGGCTGGGTGTTCTCTTAAATTGTTGCTGCTGAGCTGACTATTGTCTTTTTAAAATATTTTTATGGCATCAGTCTCACCAGTGGATTTTAAACACTTCACAATGTGTCAAAGAACATTTCTGTTAAGCGATCATATATATATATTGTCTCCATTTTCTAATGCAAGAACTCATAAATAAATGTTCAGGCTGCATTTATTTCAAAAAATTTGACATGTAGGACTGCTGCTGGTACTTTAGAGACTACTTGGTTTGCCAAGTTGGATAATTTCTCTGCAGTATATCAGCATGAATGAGATGAGCAAAGAAACTTGAGTCTTTCCAATAATTGAGCCCAGCAGGCAAATATATTCCTCTGATGAGAACTTCTTGGGAGTTACTCCTTTCCCAGCTAAACTACTGAAAACATCTTTTAGATACAATTTTTCAACCTGATCTTCTCCCTTCTATCTTACAAGAAGGGAAGGAATTCATCAGCTCTGGTTTGGGGAATGCCTTATTTCTCTTTATAACCACATTCAAACGTGATGAGACCGTTTTCTGTCACAGAGAAGACAGGCAAGTCTGATCCAAGTATTTGGTGTTTTGCATGATTAGCTTATGAAAGTGTAAATGGGCTTATTCCTCTAAGGGAAGTCTTTCTCCAGTGGTAGGGTATCCTTCATGTGTTCATCAAGCTATCATTTATTTGCTCATATTCCCTTCCTAGCCCATTTTATTGTTTCAGTATATCAGTATGGTTTATCTGTTTGCTTTTCTCCACTGTATGTAGAGGACAGTTGTGCTTGATAGAATTTTATCAGTTTATCAGCTGTAGTGCTAGATATTGGTCATAGCATTTAAATATAGCTATTAGTTTAGATGGAGGTGTCCCATTTACTGCTTAACCATTACTTAAAAATATATATATATTTAGCTTAACTAGTAGCGTGGCCCTGTGGTCTCCATGGTGTATTTCAGGTATCACATTACAGGTCTTGATTAGATCATGCTCAGATGTGATCGTGGTTTTAATGATGCTGTTTACTGTTGATAGTATGCCTATTCTTTTCCATGTGTCAAGTGAGGTAAATGGAGGTAAAATGCATAATGGCTTGTTATCTAAATTGACCAGGCTGTTTCTCAGTAATGCCTGGAACAGTCCTGTAACTTCTGGAGCCACCATCTTCATTATGCTTGAGAGATGACTGTGATACGTTTGATAATATAACAGAAACAGAAATGAAATGTTAATTTTGCCTTCTTCCGAATAAACACTGGATGTGCCAGCTTAGGATCGAAATCGACTTTATCTAAATGTTAAAAGAAAAAAAACAACAAACTAGCATCAAGTAAAGAAAACAAGGCAAATATTATTTAGTGACTGTTGTATGGTGGTGGCAGGAGGATACTAATGCCGTTATGGCATTGTTACTGTCTACTGCTGATTTATCAGTACAATAAAGTAGTAGCTTACAGATTTATTTTTGAAAAAAGTTATTTCCTTATGGCATTTGCAGTGTGAAAAAGATTAATGATTTATTGTGTTTAGCAATACCAGCCTTATATATAAACTCTTCCTTTATATGATTGTTTTTATGGCTTTTATAAACACTATGAAAATGACACATCTTTCTGGGCAAAATGATTTAATGTGTGTGGGTAAATTCAACCTGAAATCTGTCATCTGAAGAGCAAAGGCTGTTATGTACCCAATACTCTATTAACAAGTAATCAAAATAACCTGTTCTGGGTTTTTTTTCCCGCCAGTAAACTGACAGCCAATGTCTCTTGTGTTCAGGAAAATTCTTTAATAAAAATACATTATATATGTGAGTGGATACTCCTAACAACTGACTAACATATATATATAGTATAAGTCTTTATAAGCAAGACGGTATTTCTTTTTGTGAGCTAGTTTTATGTGTCTAACTGTATCTGAAAAAGAAAGTACTTATATTAAATTTGTCAGAAGTTAAAAACTCGAAGAAGATGACAGCATTATGTACATCTCGTCCAATAAAGATTTGCAGGTTATTGCTATGGGATGAGCTACTTACTCATAAGTGTCCAGGACAACTCAAGGTATAACTCAGCCCTAACAACATGAAAAGTTTTTTTTTTTTTTTTACCCTTAAAGCATTACCATGCCTAAATGCAGTTTGTAATCATTTCACAATTTCTGTTTATTTGTTTACATTTTCTTGACTGTCAATTTTTAGTTAGCCTAATAATGTATTGCTGCATGTTACTACAGCGTAGCACCAGTAGATGTGGAAAAGAGGAGAAAACTTAAGTCATAGCATTTTGTTTCCTCTGCTGTAGGTTGATTGGAAGCAGGTTTGCTCATTGGTATAATGTGCTTTAAAGCTGTGAAATTAAAGGATAAGCTGTTTTAACGATAGGAAGTATGTTAACTGTGTAATAATAGCCACTCTTAAAGTTTGGATTGTGTTCACCGAAAGGGTTATACAGATCATTTGTCACTACTTGAATCATAGAATCGCAAGGTTGGAAACGACCTGCAAGATCTCGTCTAGTCCAACCATCCTCCGATTCCTATTAGTACCACAAGCTACTAAACCATATTTCATAGCTCCTCATCCAGGCGCCTCTTGAACACTGCCAGGGATGGCGACTCCACCACCTTCCTGGGCAGCCATTCCAGTGCCTGACCACTCTGAGAGAAAAAGTTTCTCCTCATGTCCAGCTTGCATGCTGAGTATTTCCTGATGGTCATGTCTATTAGTTTTTTTCTCCGTCTTCAGTAGTGTAGCAGTCATACTGATGCTGATGGACACTGCTTTCAGCAAGCACGGTGTCTGAACCTTTCTTAATGTTCATTTACTAGCAGTACTGTTGGTAGTATAAAACACTAATTTCTACCTGCCAAGTTTCCTCTGCTAGCTTCTGCACTAAGGGTTTTTACAAT